GACTGAGGAGATCTCAAAGTGCTGACATATTTAAACTATTAAAACAGCTAAATTGTGTATTCAAAGAGTCAGAAATAAGTAATTCATATTCATATGTTTGTTAATGACATGAATGCTATGGTTGAATTTCTGATAGTGTTTCCTAGAATGACTCTTAACCTCAATCCAGTGAATTTCTTGAACAGAGTTTGATACATCAGATCTTCAGAATGATATACACTTTTAATGAATCTTACAAATGCTAAATTAATTCATAAAAGTTTCCAACCACTACAACTGGAAAGCTTAATATAAAACCAACCACCAAATGTTGATTATTTGACAGATTTTCCAAACTAAAAAAACAAACTAAAAAAACAGACTTTCCCTGAACCACTAAATATTTTGTAGTGCATTTTTATAATAGGCCTAATTAAACGTAATACTTTTTTTTTAACTTAGACTATGTTGTGAGGATCTGCTTCATAAAGTTATTAACTAAAGCTTTATTCCACATGTAAAATGACAAACATCTGTCATTTGTAACAAATTCTTATAGTTTATTGGTGTAAATGACTGAAAGCTGAACAGATATAGGCCTATTGCAGAAAAAACACGTTTCTTTTGAACTTAAACATTACAAACTAAACAGCAGGAATAGAAAGACTTATGAACAGATGATAACACTGAAGAGGAACCTTAAAAACACAGATCAGAAATAAAACAACAAAAACAAAGCATTCCAATCCTTCCCGAATGATCATCTGTCCAAACACAGCCGCCGGTCACGTGAGCGGAATATCCATAAATCTATGCGTTTGATTAGAGTGGTTGATTGTGTAAGTGTGTGTAGTTATATAAGCTCTTATAAAACATGTTCCCAGCTAACAACACAAACACATTCAGCTAACGTTCCCTTTCAGTTAAGAACACTTTTCTGAATGTTCCCTGGACGTTCAACACATCCAGTTTTATAAACGTCAAGGGAAACCTCCATTTTATATTTGGAAACATTATGTTACTTTTGAATGTTCTGAAACAATTAAATATAACTTAAACATTTAAGAAGAAAAAAAAAAAACGCTCAATGAACGATGCATAAATAAAGTTTTTGTGTTCACGTTTTGAAAGCAACATTTTGAGAATGATAATCCTGTTAGCTGGACTAGATGATGAAATCAAGCATCTCCGAGTCCAAATTAAGATGGAACTTTGCAATTAACTTTAGGCTATAGGCTATATTTGTACATATATGTATTTAATAATATAGGCAACATGTATAGGCGCATATTAAAGTGTTGATTTAAGATAGTTATATTCACAATCACATTATATTCACATTGCTGCTCAAGTAAATGTTTAAATATTGACGTTTAATAGATTATTAGATATCTATAAAAACAAGACTTTATTGGAGTGTAAAGCCGTTTTTTAATTGACAATTTTTTTAATAGTCCGTAGAACATTATCAGAAACTAAGGAATTCGTAATTTAATTTTTTTCAATCAAAACTACAATTATCACAACACAATGTAGCCTACATGCCATTCCCAACAGTAGTAAGTAGGCTAAGTAAATTGAAGACAAAGAGAGAGAGAGAGAGAGAGAGAGAGAGAGAGAGAGAGAGAGAGAGAGAGAGAGAGAGAGAGAGAGAGAGAGAGAGAGAGAGAGAGAGAGAGAGAGAGAGAGAGAGAGAGAGAAATTAAAGAATTAGGGGAGAAGGAAGTTCTTTCAAATTATAATTAAGTGCTTGTTTAATGAGCATTTAAGCACAATGATTTTACACAATAAGGAAACGTGGTTTAGTTTGAAGCTCCTAATCAAAAATCGGCACGACCTTTAAGATTCATATGTCGGATTACGAAAATTAACGTTGTTTTACAACAAATAAACAACATTGCTATAGTTAAACCACAAATTAAACATGGTTTTGCTACGCCATAGTTAGACCATGGTATTTGTGGTAAAACTGTGTGGTTATACAAATGGTAGCCTAATCAATCAGCCAGAAAACATCAACTTTTACTATAAAGAAAGACAGGTATTATCGCGATGCGGACGGACGAGTCATTTATGAGAATTACTACAGAATTAACGAAAAAATATACTAGCCCTACCACACTTTTTTAAATCAGTATTGGTTTCAATTTCAATCACGATTTTGAACCAATATTTTCTTACACAAACACACTTGTTGTCTGCATCATGGCTTTATTGGCTACAATGGCGTCGGCCATTTCCGGATGGTGTGCAGTTCGCCAATACTGTATTATGGGCTCTAGTGATTGTTTCTCTGTGTAAACGCGCTAGACGGATGTGTTTGACCATTGCTCTCGCATCTCATACACATGTGTATGGAATTGTTTCCGCCACAGAATGAAAAATAAAAAAGGTAATTGCAACTTTTTTCTCACAATTGCGAGTTTACATCTCGCAATTCTGACTTTATTTCACAGAATTGCGAGATATAAAGTCATAATTGCGTGATATAAAATCGCAATTGCGTGTTATAAAGTCAGAATTGCTAAATATTAAAGTCAGAATTGCGTGATATAAAGTCGAAATTATGTGTTATAAAGTCAGAATTGCGTGATATAAAGTCGAAATTATGTGTTATAAAGTCAGAATTGCGTGATATAAAGTCGAAATTATGTGTTATAAAGTCAGAATTGCGAGATATAAAGTCGAAATTGCGTGTTATAAAGTCAGAATTGCGTGATATAAAGTCGAAATTGCGTGTTATAAAGTCAGAATTGCGTGATATAAAGTCGAAATTATGTTATAAAGTCAGAATTGCGTGATATAAAGTCGAAATTATGTTATAAAGTCAGAATTGCGAGATGTAAACTCGCAATTGTGAGAAAAAAAGTCAGAATTGTGAGATAAAAAGTCGCAATTCTGTCTTTTTTCTCTCGCAATTGCGACTTTATTTCTCATAATTGCGACTTTATATCTCGCAATTGCGACTTTATTTCTCAGAATTGCAACTTTATATCTCGCAATTGCGACTTTATTTCTCACAATTCCGACTTCATATCTCGCAATTGCGACTTTATTTCTCATAATTGCAACTTTATATCTCGCAATTGCGACTTTATTTCTCACAATTCCGACTTCATATCTCGCAATTGCGACTTTATTTCTCAGAATTGCAACTTTATATCTCGCAATTGCGACTTTATTTCTCACAATTCCGACTTCATATCTCGCAATTGCGACTTTATTTCTCAGAATTGCAACTTTATATCTCGCAATTGCGACTTTATTTCTCACAATTCCGACTTCATATCTCGCAATTGCGACTTTATTTCTCATAATTGCGACTTTATATCTCGCAATTGCGACTTTATTTCTCACAATTCCGACTTCATATCTCGCAATTGCGACTTTAATTCTCATAATTGCGACTTTATATCTCGCAATTGCGACTTTATTTCTCACAATTCCGACTTCATATCTCGCAGTTGCAACTTTATTTCTCGGAATTACGACTTTATATCTCGCAATTGCGACTTTATTTCTCACAATTCTGACTTCATATCGCAATTGTGAGATAAAAAGTCGCAATTATTTTATTTTATTTTTTTATTCAGTGGCGGATACAAGCTTCCATACATGTGCATTCTAAAAAAAAGTCAAAAAGATATTCTTTTCACAAAACAATAAAGGATTTTCACTACAATAAAGGGTTCTGTGCAGATAAGGGCCTAAAATTAACACACCAAATGCAAGTAGAATCCCGTGTTGGCGAGTATATGAAATCTCCATTGAACACTTTTATGAATTCTTACAATGCAATGTTGTGAGATCTTGAACGTAATGACGCTTGGGACGCTCCTCACGAAAGTTTAAGCCTTGCCAATTTAATTATTCAAGCACAAGAATAATAAATTATAATAATAATAATAAATTTTATTTAAAGGTGCCTTTCAAAACACTCAAGGACACCATACAGTTGAGTGATAGTCATAAGAACTAGACAGCAATACAACAAAACAAAGGCTGTTTAACATTACATAATTTAAAAGACAAAAGTTTCTGTGCGCATCCTGAGCTCTTTCAGATCATCTTGCGCTTGAACAGACAAATTCACTCAAAATTATGTAAAAAAAAAAAAAGAAAGTCTTGACGAGTTATTGTAAACAGTCGGTTAAGTCTTAAGTGAACATAAACAGTAGAGAAATAAAAGCAGTGCATCAGTATACTGGATCTGTGCTTTCAGTCTTAAAGTGACAGCACTAATATTCCTGTCAGTGTTTTTAATGTTAAATCTCTGAAATAATCACTCACTACTCTTGAATGAATAACTTCTGTATAACTTTAATAAGGATTAACATGTTTAATTTATACAGTGAAGATTATATGCAGTGTTATTTTACATTTGATTACTTTATTCAGTGTCTCTACCTGAAAACTACTCTAAATGTTTTAAATGTATATTAGTTATAGTATTTTCAGCTGTGGTATTAAAATTGGAATAGAGAATTGTGCATTTTCACTGGGATCTACAATTTTGGTGCCATAACTGCCTGTTTTTGCAAAGAATTAAAATAAAATTGGTAGCAGTTTATTTTACAGTGTCTTATTACACGTCACATGTACTTATAGTTATAATAGTAAATTATGCGGAGAAATCTTTCTGCTCACATCGTGATTTTATTACGATTCTGATTAATCGCACAGCCCTATGAATTATAAAGGAAACAAAAAACAATTATACTTGTAAAATGGGATAAACTGTATTTGATTTTTATACAACTTATTAAACATCAAAACAAGACCATGCACACACACACACACAACGCTACATATGACCAACCCCTAAAAACATTAGAATTACATTAAAAGTGAACCACAAAACAAACCCTAAAAAAAAAAAGACAATATTTATTGCACAATATATTATAGTTCTCAGCATGATTGTTCGCTGTTTATTATTGCTTTCAAATGATTTTTTATGAATTGCTTGGAGCATCAAGTCTAAACTTGTAGGACAGTGGACAGGCCATGCAGAAACACACTGTAAAGACACATGGTGAAACACACACACACACACAGAGGCACACACTGAAAGACACACAAGCGGACACACACATATTTGGTCTTTAAAGTAAAACGTTACATTCATTAAAGCCGCTGCTGTCTGATCGTTCAGCCGTTTGATTGGCTGATCAAACGTAGACTGTATTTAACGAGGCAGACTATGAGGAACACGTATGATAGTGATGATGTCAGAACAGTGGCTTTGGCTGGAGATGTTCTGTGAAGCGCTTCTCTACATGTGGCTACAGCTGCTCGTGATGTGCTTGTCTCTTCATGTCACGCTGGTGCGGATCGTCCTTCATCACGGGGAGTTCGTGGGAGAACCCTTCAGACTGCTGAGAGCCGCGTGGATGCGGAAGTGAAGTCGCGACTCCATCGAATAATCTTTATAATTCAACCTACAAACACACACACAATCAACTCCGACCACATTCAGTATCAATGAAATCATTAAATCTTTACCATTATATGTCATTTTCAACCACAGTAAGGACAAATTATTTATTTAGCTTAAATGACTATTCATTCAATTTGATAAACTCAGACTCTTTGACAACCAGCTTTTTTTTTTACTTATAACAAACGATCATATTTTCATTGATGCTTCCTGAGATATGTTTACCTACTCTCATTTACAAAACCGACCGAAATTTAAATCTCGTAATAGAACAAAAGCGACCAAGATTTAAATCTCGTAATAGAACAAAAGCGACCGACATTTAAATCTCGTAATAGAACAAAACCGACCTACATTTAAATCTCGTAATAGAACAAAACCGACCGACATTTAAATCTCGTAATAGAACAAAACCGACCGATATTTAAATCTCGTAATAGAACAAAAGCGACCGACATTTAAATCTCGTAATAGAACAAAAGCGACCGACATTTAAATCTCGTAATAGAACAAAACCGACCGAGATTTAAATCTCGTAATAGAACAAAAGTGACCGATATTTAAAACTCGTAATAGAACAAAACCGACCGACATTTAATTCTCGTAATATAAGAAAACCGACCGATATTTAAATGTCGTAATATAACAAAACCGACCAACATTTAAATCTCGTAATAGAACAAAAGCGACCGACATTTAATTCTCGTACTATAAGAAAACCGACCAATATTTAAATCTCGTAATAGAACAAAACCGACCAACATTTAATTCTCGTAATAGAACAAAACCGACCGACATTTAATTCTCGTAATATAAGAAAACCGACCGACATTTAAATCTCGTAATAGAACAAAACCGACTGACATTTAAATCTCGTAATAGAACAAAACCGACCGATATTTAATTCTCGTAATAAACAAAACCGACCGACATTTAAATCTCGTAATATAAGAAAACCGACCGACATTTAATTCTCGTAATATAAGAAAACCGACCGATTTTTAATTCTCGTAATAGAACAAAAACGACCGACATTTAATTCTCGTAATAGAACAAAACCGACCGACATTTAAATCTCGTAATAGAACAAAAGCGACCAAGATTTAAATCTCGTAATAGAACAAAAGCGACCGACATTTAAATCTCGTAATAGAACAAAACCGACCTACATTTAAATCTCGTAATAGAACAAAACCGACCGACATTTAAATCTCGTAATAGAACAAAACCGACCGATATTTAAATCTCGTAATAGAACAAAAGCGACCGACATTTAAATCTCGTAATAGAACAAAAGCGACCGACATTTAAATCTCGTAATAGAACAAAACCGACCGAGATTTAAATCTCGTAATAGAACAAAAGTGACCGATATTTAAAACTCGTAATAGAACAAAACCGACCGACATTTAATTCTCGTAATATAAGAAAACCGACCAATATTTAAATGTCGTAATATAACAAAACCGACCAACATTTAAATCTCGTAATAGAACAAAAGCGACCGACATTTAATTCTCGTACTATAAGAAAACCGACCAATATTTAAATCTCGTAATAGAACAAAACCGACCAACATTTAATTCTCGTAATAGAACAAAACCGACCGACATTTAATTCTCGTAATATAAGAAAACCGACCGACATTTAAATCTCGTAATAGAACAAAACCGACTGACATTTAAATCTCGTAATAGAACAAAACCGACCGATATTTAATTCTCGTAATAAACAAAACCGACCGACATTTAAATCTCGTAATATAAGAAAACCGACCGACATTTAATTCTCGTAATATAAGAAAACAGACCGATTTTTAATTCTCGTAATAGAACAAAAACGACCGACATTTAATTCTCGTAATAGAACAAAACCGACCGACATTTAAATCTCGTAATAGAACAAAAGCGACCGACATTTAAATCTCGTAATATAGGAAAACCGACCGATATTTAAATCTCGTAATAGAACAAAACCGACCAACATTTAATTCTCGTAATGGAACAAAACCGACCAACAATTAAATCTCGTAATGGAACAAAAGCGACCGATATTTTATTACCGTAATAAACAAAACCGACCGACATTTAATTCTCGTAATATAAGAAAACCGACCGATATTTAATTCTCGTAATAAAACAAAACCGACCAACATTTAAATCTCGTAATAAAACAAAAGCGACCGATATTTAATTCTCGTAATAAAACAAAACCGACCGACATTTAATTCTCGTAATATAAGAAAACCGACCGACATTTAAATCTCGTAATAGAACAAAAGCGACCGATATTTTATTACCGTAATAAACAAAACCGACCGACATTTAATTCTCGTAATAGAACAAAACCGACCGATATTTAATTCTCGTAATAGAACAAAAACGACCGACATTTAATTCTCGTAATAGAACAAAACCGACCGATATTTAATTCTCGTAATAAAACAAAACCGACCAACATTTAATTCTCGTAATAGAACAAAACCGACCAACATTTAAATCTCGCAATAGAACAAAAGCGACCGACATTTAATTCTCGTAATAGAACAAAACCGACCGATATTTAAATCTCGAATATAACAAAACCGACCGATATTTAAATCTCGTAATAGAACAAAACCGACCAACATTTAATTCTCGTAATAGAACAAAACCGACCGATATTTAAATCTCAAATATAACAAAACCGACCGATATTTAAATATCGAATATAACAAAACCGACCGATATTTAAATCTCGAATATAACAAAACCGACCGATATTTAAATCTCGTAATAGAACAAAACCGACCGATATTTAAATCTCGTAATAGAACAAAACCGACCGATATTTAAATCTCGTAATATAAGAAAACCGACCGAGATTTAAATCTCGTAATAGAACAAAACCGACCGATATTTAAATCTCGTAATAGAACAAAACCGACCGATATTTAAATCTCGTAATAGAACAAAACCGACCGATATTTAAATGTGTTAACCGAACGATATTAAAATCTCTTAACGGAACAAAACCGACCGATATTTAAATCTCTTAATAGGACCAAACAAATATTTAAATCTTTAAGCTTGGAGTTGTAATCGACTTCAGAGGAGATGCACACATACAGTCCTGCAGAGCCCTGCTCAAACACACACACACACACACACCTGTGGTTTTAAAGTAAGCTTGAAGCACTTGATTGTCTCAGGGCGTTTTCACACCTGAAAGTCCGCACCAAGGTCCACACAAAGTTCACGTTTTGATACATTTTAAACTTTCAGAAAGTTTTGGTTTGGTTTCACACTGCAATTATGTGGGCGCACTAGAGAACTTTACGTGACACACGTGCGTCCTGTCGTCATCATCTATGTGGGCTGCATCTCGACATTGATTGGTTTGTAAATGGACGTGTGTGTGACGTCAGCGCGTTGTCAATTCGGCGGGTAACTTTGACAACATGAATGAACAGACGCATATCTTTGCAACTATATTGTTATTTGTATGGTATAATTACCTGCAGCACCAACTATACACAAGGCTAGATCAAATTCGCCAAATGAACGTCCTCGTCGTGCGAACATTTCATCGTCGCCGGCAGGAAAGGAGGAGAAGACTGCAAGTTGACTTCTTATTATGTCATCAGACCAAACTTCAATTAAAACCCTCGTCTGCTCCTCTCCCCATGTGCCACGGCTCATTTTTCCTGCCACCTTCTGTTTTTCGGCTATGCGGGAACCACCGGAACTTCCTGAAAGTCCGAACTGTACAGAAATGCTTTTACACTAGAAACGAACCAAACCTTTGTTCAGTCTGATCCGGACCGAGACTACCTCTTTTCGTCGGACCAAATTTCATCTGTTTGGTGCGGACCGTGGTCCGGGGGAGGTTTCACACCTGTCATTTTGATTCGGACCAAACTGAAAAGTCCGAAAGTCCGGACCAAACAAGCTAGGTGTGAAAGGGCCCTTAATCAGGTGTGTTTGATTAGCGCTGAAGTGAACTCTGCAGTGTGTCATGTGAAACCGACTCACTTGGCTTCCTCGATGAAGCGCGTGGCCTTGATGTAATCGCCCTGTTGCTTGTAGAGTAAACCCAGCTCAAACAGGCTGAAGGGGATCAGATAGTGATCGTAACGGATGCGTTTCTCACTGCGAACACACACACACACACACACACACGTCCAGTCATCATCAAAACACTGCAAACGCTCTTCCTCATTCTAAACAGCCTAGATCTTATCTTATAACAGGTCATCTGTTATAAGAAAGTAACATAAATATAAAGAAAATAAAACCAGACGAAATAAGTTTCATGTTGTGAAGTTTCAATTTAAATAAAATTATAGTTTCATGTTATTATACAGTTAAATATAAGTGGCAAAATACTGTGGTCATTAAGCTGACGCAGACCCAGGCTGTGTGTGGATACAACATCACAACTCAAACTAATGTACTATAATAAAACATTTTCACAACCGTTTCACAATGCTTTTACAGTGAGTAAGTGTGTGAGTGTGTGTTAGAGTGTGTATCTGATTGTGTGTGTGAGTGAGAGTGTGTGTGTTTGTGTGAGTGTGTGCGTGCGTGAGTGAGAGTGTGATTGTGTGAGAGTGTGTGTGTGTGTGTAAGAGAGAGAGAGAGAGAGAGAGAGAGAGAGAGTCTGAGTGAGCGTGTGTAAGTGTGATTGTGTGAGTGTGTGAGTGTGAGTGAGTGTGTGAGTGAGTGTGCGAGAGTGTGTGTTTACCTGCTGATCACCTGTGTGAAGCACAGTTCGGCCTGCAGTAATCTGCCCAAATGTTTCAAACACAAACCCTTTAACATCTGCACCAGACACTGGTCATCAGGGTGAAACTCAGACGGGTCTGAAACACACACACACACGTTTGTTTCTCGTGGGCACTGCATCAAGAGTGTAGGTTTGATGTTGACAAACCACTTTTGACTGCAATTTCATCTTTTTTTCCCAGGAGCCAACTCACTCATAACTCATAACATAGGATCATTTTGAGCATGTAAACGGACAACATTACATAAAAACCTAATTCAGGGATAGCTGGGTTTCAGTCACGTGATTATGATGACGCGCCAAATTTAGATGGAGGGCAGGGAGTGAAGAGCGCAATGGACGAGATGGAGGAAAGTCCGTACTGTACTACTTTACAGCTATTACAAGAGAAAGATATAAACAAAAAATCAAACATATGTTGGACGTGATCCTTACGTTATGAAGAGGAGCGATTTTCAACTGAATTGAAAGATTTTCCTGCCATCGAGGCGGTAGATATCAGCAACTACCTCGTCTTACAGACATACTTTGACTTTACAAAGTTCGGAAACGTTACACATTACACAAACATAGCCAAACTCACATTTGATGAAGTGATCACTGCACACACGGGTAGGTGAATGCTCTATCTATGCCCACGTAAGGTCTCTCGCTCGCTCTACGCGGTTTGGAGCACAATCTCTGTCTCCCATGCACGCTCGCTCTAGATTGCGGGAGATTTTTAACGAATTTGCGGTATAACTAGTCGATCACGAGTGGCTCAACAGGTACATCTGTAGATAAACTCATCTTTCAGGCATTTGACCGGCCGGGTTGACACTTCAGCGTGAGAAATCGGGAGTGTGGCGTGTGAGCGTGTGAAACCAATCAAATGCGGGTGTCTCACGGCCAATGCGTGAGAGTTGGCAGCTCTGGCCGTAGGTTTGCAAGCCGTTTTTACGGAGTTTTTCGGTCAATTTCTTGCATTTTTCCCCCTTATGAACAACAACTTTTGGTACACGATAAAAACTCCTCGTGGTTTGATCGATTTAAGTAACCATAAACGACGCAAAACATAGGCATTTTGAGTTTGTTATAGTGCTTTCTAAATACAGCAAATCACTTCCTGCCCTCCATTTGCATTTCGCGCCATGGCAACGCAGTGGCGTGACGTCATATGAAAACAAGCTATTGACAAATAAGGTTTTAAATTTATCCAGACCTCAATTAATCAATTCTGTAATATTATAAGGACTTCAATGGGGTCCAACGGGTTGAAAGTCCAGATGTGAGTTTCAGTGCAGCTTCAAAGTCTCGACACGATCCAGCCGAGGAATAAGAGTCTGATCTAGACAAACCAGCGGAGAATAAACATTTATATACTTTTAACCACAAATGCTCGTCTTGCACTAGCTGTGATGCGAGACACATTACGTAATCAGGTTGAAAGGTCACGAGTGACGTAACTGGAAGTACAGACCTAGTGTTTACAAAATGAACGTCAAATGCAATTTACAAAAAAAAAAAAAAAAAAAAAAAAAAAAAAAAAAAAAAAAGGTAAAACAACAATGTCGGACGATCGATGGTGATTTTGAAGTTGGAGGAGAAACAGAGTTTTTCGCCCTATGCTACATTTATAAACAGGAACACGCCATCCATCCATCTTCTTCCGCTTATCCGGGGCCGGGTCACGGGGCAGCAGTCTAAGCAGAGACGCCCAGACTTCCCTCTCTCTAGACACTTCCTCCAGCTCTTCCGGGGGGACACCGAGGCGTTCCCATGCCAGCCAGGAGACATAATCCCTCCAGCGTGTCCTAGGTCTTCCCCGGGACCTCCTCCCGTTGGGACGTGCCCGGAACACCTTCCCGGGAAGGCATCCAGGAGGCGTCCAGAACAGATGCCCGAGCCACCTCAGCTGGCCCTCTCGATGTGGAGGAGCAGCGGATCTACTCTGAGCTCCTCCCGAGTGACCGAGCTCCACACCCTATCTCTAAGGGATCGCCCAGCCACCCTGCGGAGAAAGCTCATTTCGGCCGCCTGTATCTGGGATCTTGTCCTTTCAGTCATGACCCACAGCTCATGACCATAGGTGAGAGTAGGAATGTAGATTGACCGGTAAATCCAGAGCTTCGCCTTGCAGCTCAGCTCCTTCTTCACCACAGACCGGTACATCGACCGCATTACTGCAGAAGCTGCACCGATCCGTCTGTCAATCTCCCGTTCCATCCTTCCCTCACTTGTGAACAAAACCCCAAGATACTTAAACTCCTCCACTTGAGGCAGGAACTCTCCACCAACCTGAAGTGGGTAAGCCACCCTTTTCCAACTGAGGACCATGGCCGCACTGTTCCTCCTGAATCCGAGGTTCCACTATCGGCCGTATTCTCCTCTCCAGTACCCTTGCATAGACTTTCCCGGGGAGGCTGAGGAGTGTGATCCCCCTGTAGTTGGAACACACCCTCCGGTCCCCCTTCTTGAAAAGAGGCACCACCACCCCGGTCAGAGGCACTGTCCCCGACCGCCACGCAATGCTGCAGAGGCGTGTTAACCAAGACAGCCCCACAACATCCAGAGACTTGAGGTACTCAGGGCGGATCTCATCCACCCCTGGTGCCTACCACCGAGGAGCTTCTTGACTACCTCGGTGACTTCAGCTAGGGTGATGGACGAGTCCCTCTCCGAGCCCTCGGCCTGTGCTTCCTCAATGGAAGACATGTCGGTGTAGTATTCCTTCCACCGTCCGACGACATCCCCAGTTGAGGTCAACAGCTGCCCTCCTCCACTGTAAACAGCGTTGGTGGGGCACTGCTTCCCTCTCCTGAGGCGCCGGACGGTTTGCCAGAATCTCTTCGAGGCCAGCCGGTAGTCCTTCTCCATGGCCTCACCGAACTCCTCCCAGGCCAGGCTGACCCATGTCCGCTTGGCCTGCCGATACCCGTCAGCTGCCTCAGGAGTCCCACAAGCCAGCCAGGCCTGATAGGACTCCTTCTTCAGCTCTGGATGGCATCTCTTACTTGCGGTGTCCGGGTTCGGGGATTGCCACATTGACAGGGACTGGAGACCTTACGGCCACAGCTCCGAGCAGCCGCGTCGACAATGGAGGTGGAGAACATGGTCCACTCGGACTCAATATCTCCAGCCTCCCTCGGGATCCGGTCAAAGCTCAGCCGGAGGTGGGAGTTGAAGATCTCTCTGACAGGAGACTCGGCCAAACGTACCCAGCAGACCCTTACAGTACGCTTGGTCTGCCGAGTCTGTCCAGCTTCCTCCCCCACCATCGGATCCAACTCACCACCAGGTGGTGATCAGTGGACAGCACCGCCCCTCTCTTCACCCGAGTGTCCAAGACATACAGTCGGATTAAACGACTACAAAGTCGATCATCGACCTCCGGCCTAGGGCGTCCTGGTGCCACGTGCACTGATGGACCGGAACACGCGTATTCCTCGGCTGGATCGTGTCGAGACTTTGAAGCTGCAGTGAAACTCACATTTGGACCTTCGACCTGTTGGACCCCATTGCAGTCACTATAAGGAGAAAAATCCTGGAATGTTTTCCTCAAAAACCTTAATTTCTTTTCAACTGACTGAAGAAAGAAAGACATGAACATCTTGGATTACGTAAATTATCAGGATATTTTGATTCTGAAGTGAACTCCTCCTTTAATCTGATCTGGACTCACTGGGATCGTTGCGCAGCTGCTCCTCCGCTCGCTCGATGGTCACCAGTAAACTCTCTGTATAATCCGCTCGTTTCCCAACGATGGTGAAGCCGTTCCACACGTACATCATTTCCTGTGTGAGGAACCATAGATGCATGACTTCCTGCTCTCTTGATTTACTTGTGTTTATTCGTTGTGTGTGTGTCTGTGTGTGAGTGAGTGAGTGTGTGAGTGAGTGAGAGAGAGTGTGCGTGTGTGTGTGTGTGAGTAAGTGAGTGTGTGTGAGTGAGTGAGTGTGTATGTGTGTGTGTGACGCACCAGCGCAGGAATCACCAGCTTGACAGGCACGGCCGCCGAGTATCTCCGGGATTTCCTCACGGCAAACTTTTCCGTAGGGATGGACTTCCCGGCCAAACGCTGCTTCAGTCCCTCCACCTGCCTGAGGAACACCATAGCATCAGCCACACACACACACACACACACACACACTGCCCCTATCCCTAAACCTGCCCATCACACACAACTTTCTGCATTTTTACATTTTCAAAAAACATTACTTAGTGTGATTTATACGCCGTTTTCCTCATGGGGACCGCTGGCTGGTCCCCACAATGTAGGTGATTTCAGGTTTTACTATACTTGTGGGGACATTTGGTCCCCACAATGTAATATAAACACACACACACACACACACACACACAGCTTCAGTCCCTCCACCTGCCTGAGGAACACCATAGCATCAGCCACACACACACACACACACAGCTTCAGTCCCTCCACCTGCCTGAGGAACACCAGAGACACGAGAGACACACCTGAACAGATCCACGATGCTCTCTCCGGTCACCTTCACCTCCTCCTCCGACATCATGCTCAGAATAGCAGCTTTCTGATACACGTAGATGGCCTGAAACCAACCAACACACGCTCACTCATCATGTTTCGGGAAAGTGTCGTCTGTGTGTGAGTGTGTGAGTGAGTGTGTGTAACCGAGCGTGTGTGTGTTACCTTAGACCAGCGGCTCTCTCTGCACAGTAGATCAGCGTATCGGTACGCATCGGTCCACTGTTGCTGGAAGGAGTGGCACCACATCAGCTCCCAGTAACACAGATGATGCACCTGACGCCACTGCTGCTGCGTCGCGATACACTCCTGGAACTTCACCACCGCCTGAGGGATTCACACACACACTCACACATTACCACACGAGCCACGGCTGCACACATGAGCACACGCGTCACACACCCTCACCTTCTCGAAGTTTCCCCTCAGTAGGGCGATCCGAGCGGAGTAAAACAGGATGATGGAGCCCTGGAACACAAACACAGAGTTGAGCTGCTCGTGATCAGCAGGAAACAGAGTAACGCATTACTGAACAGAGTAACGGATTATTGAAACAGTAACGCATTACTGAACAGAGTAACGGATTATTGTAACAGTAACGGATTATTGTAACACAGTAACGGATTATTGTAACACAGTAACGGATTATTGTAACACAGTAACGGATTATTGTAACAGTAACGGGTTATTGAAACAGTAACGGGTTATTGAAACAGTAACGGGTTATTGAAACAGTAACGGATTATTGAAACAGTAACGGGTTATTGTAACAGTAACGCATTACTGAACAGAGTAACGGATTATTGTAACAGTAACGCATTACTGAACAGAGTAACGGATTATTCTAACAGTAACGGGTTATTGAAACAGTAACGGATTATTGTAACAGTAACGGGTTATTAAAACAGTAACGGATTATTGAAACAGTAACGGGTTATTGTAACAGTAACGCATTACTGAACAGAGTAACGGATTATTGTAACAGTAACGGATTATTGTAACACAGTAACGGATTATTGTAACAGAGTAACGGATTATTGTAACAGTAACGGATTATTGTAACACAGTAACGGATTATTGTAACACAGTAACGGATTATTGTAACAGTAACGGGTTATTGAAACAGTAACGGATTATTGTAACAGTAACGGTTATTGAAACAGTAACGGATTATTGAAACAGAGTAACGGATTACTGTAACAGTAACGGATTACTGAAACAGAGCAACGGATTATTGTAACACAGTAACGGATTACTGTAACAGTAACGGATTATTGTAACAGTAACGGATTACTGAAACAGAGTAACGGATTATTGTAACACAGTAACGGATTATTGTAACAGTAACGGATTATTGTAACAGTAACGGATTATTGAAACAGAGTAACAGATTATTGTAACACAGTAACAGATTATTGTAACAGTAACGGATTATTGTAACAGAGTAACAGATTATTGTAACACAGTAACAGATTATTGTAACAGTAACGGATTACTGAAACAGAGTAACGGATTATTGAAACAGTAACGGATTACTGAAACAGAGTAACAGATTATTGTAACACAGTAATGGATTATTGTAACAGTAACGGATTATTGTAACACAGTAAGGGATTATTGAAACAGTAACGGATTATTGTAACACAGTAACGGATTATTGTAACAGTAACGGATTATTGTAACACAGTAACGGATTATTGTAACAGTAACGGATTATTGTAACAGTAACGGATTATTGTAACAGTAACGGATTACTGAAACACAGTAACGGATTATTGTAACACAGTAACAGATTATTGTAACAGTAACGGATTACTGAAACAGAGTAACAGATTATTGTAACACAGTAACAGATTATTGTAACAGTAACGGATTACTGAAACAGAGTAACGGATTATTGAAACAGTAACGGATTACTGAAACAGAGTAACAGATTATTGTAACACAGTAACGGATTATTGTAACAGTAACGGATTATTGTAACAGTAACGGATTATTGTAACAGTAACGGATTATTGAAACAGAGTAACAGATTATTGTAACAGTAACGGATTATTGTAACACAGTAACAGATTATTGTAACAGTAACGGATTATTGTAACAGTAACGGATTATTGTAACACAGTAACGGATTATTGAAACAGTAACGGATTATTGAAACACAGTAACGGATTATTGTAACAGTAACGGATTATTGTAACACAGTAACGGATTATTGAAACAGTAACGGATTATTGTAACACAGTAACGGATTATTGTAACAGTAACGGATTATTGTAACAGTAACGGATTATTGTAACAGTAACGATTATTGTAACAGTAACGGATTACTGAAACACAGTAACGGATTATTGTAACACAGTAACAGATTATTGTAACAGTAACGGATTACTGAAACAGAGTAACGGATTATTGTAACACAGTAACGGATTATTGTAACAGAGTAACGGATTATTGTAACAGTAACGGATTATTGTAACACAGTAACGGATTATTGTAACACAGTAACGGATTATTGTAACAGTAACGGGTTATTGAAACAGTAACGGATTATTGTAACAGTAACGGTTATTGAAACAGTAACGGATTATTGAAACAGAGTAACGGATTACTGTAACAGTAACGGATTACTGAAACAGAGCAACGGATTATTGTAACACAGTAACGGATTACTGTAACAGTAACGGATTATTGTAACAGTAACGGATTACTGAAACAGAGTAACGGATTATTGTAACACAGTAACGGATTATTGTAACAGTAACGGATTATTGTAACAGTAACGGATTACTGAAACACAGTAACGGATTATTGTCACACAGTAACAGATTATTGTAACAGTAACGGATTACTGAAACAGAGTAACGGATTATTGTAACAGTAACGGATTATTGTAACAGTAACGGATTATTGTAACAGAGTAACAGATTATTGTAACACAGTAACGGATTATTGTAACACAGTAACGGATTATTGAAACAGTAACGGATTACTGAAACAGAGTAACAGATTATTGTAACACAGTAATGGATTATTGTAACAGTAACGGATTATTGTAACACAGTAAGGGATTATTGAAACAGTAACGGATTATTGTAACAGTAACGGATTATTGTAACAGAGTAACAGATTATTGTAACACAGTAACGGATTATTGTAACACAGTAACGGATTATTGAAACAGTAACGGATTACTGAAACAGAGTAACAGATTATTGTAACACAGTAATGGATTATTGTAACAGTAACGGATTATTGTAACACAGTAACGGATTATTGTAACAGTAACGGATTATTGTAACACAGTAACGGATTATTGTAACAGTAACGGATTATTGTAACAGTAACGGATTATTGTAACAGTAACGGATTACTGAAACACAGTAACGGATTATTGAAACACAGTAACAGATTATTGTAACAGTAACGGATTACTGAAACAGAGTAACAGATTATTGTAACACAGTAACAGATTATTGTAACAGTAACGGATTACTGAAACAGAGTAACGGATTATTGAAACAGTAACGGATTACTGAAACAGAGTAACAGATTATTGTAACACAGTAACGGATTATTGTAACAGTAACGGATTATTGTAACAGTAACGGATTATTGAAACAAAGTAACAGATTATTGTAACAGTAACGGATTATTGTAACACAGTAACAGATTATTGTAACAGTAACGGATTATTGTAACAGTAACGGATTATTGTAACACAGTAACGGATTATTGAAACAGTAACGGATTATTGAAACACAGTAACGGATTATTGTAACAGTAACGGATTATTGTAACACAGTAACGGATTATTGAAACAGTAACGGATTATTGTAACACAGTAACGGATTATTGTAACAGTAACGGATTATTGTAACAGTAACGATTATTGTAACAGTAACGGATTATTGTAACAGTAACGGATTACTGAAACACAGTAAGGGAACCCAGGCTGTCTGTGGGAATTTTCCCATTCATTTAAGTTGCCATCGTCATCATATGCACTCCGAAGTCCGCGTGCTCGAAAAGGACGCCAGATCCTGCTTATTCGGATGGTGAGTGGTACTCTTTCCGAAATCGCATATAAAGTAGCCAAAATCAGCATAAATTAACATAGGCTCTGTGTGGTAGCCTATAGGGGTGCCAGTGCACTACTGGGTGGTCCACCAAGTGCTTTTGGGGTCCGCCAACTACCTGCTCTTCACCATAGTCCTCCTCAGTGCCACGGAGGGCCTATTTCGACCCCTAACTACCTTTTCTCTCCTTCATCGCCACGAAGTGCCTGTGGGGTCCCCTAACCACCCAAACTTCACCATAGTCTTCCTCGTGGTCCACGAAGTGCCTGTTTCGACCCCTAAACGCCTGTCCTCTTCTTCATTGCTACGGAGTGCCTATGGGGTCCCCTAACCACCTGAACTTCACCACAGTCTTCCTCAGTGCCACGGGGAGCCTTTTTCGACCCCTAACCACCTGTCCTCTTCTTCATTGCCACGGAGTGCCTGGGGGGTCCCCTAACCACCTGAACTTCACCACAGTCTTCCTCAGTACCACGAGGAGCCTTTTTTGACCCCTAACAACCTATCCTCTTCTTCATTGCCACGGAGTGCCTGGGGGGTCCCCTGACCACCCGAACTTCACCATGGTCTTAGTCTCAGGCCACGTGCTCCTCGAAGGGTGGACAGAGAGGTCCGATCGGCCTGAAACTGACGTATGCGTCCCGTCACGGGCCCCTGGGACGGGTTCTAGAGTTCCGCGTCCCTCTGACCTTTTTTCGCGCTAATTGGCCACCAACAGCCCCATGGAACAAGTTGCACGTGGGCCGTCAAACAAACGGGGGCCAAAAGGGGTCGAAAGGTCGCAGCGGCCCCAAACTCGGCACGGCGGTAGTCCGGGGGCCCCCGGTTCTAGATCCTGGATTTGGTGGTTCTAGATCGGTTCTAAGTGTGGGTTCCAGCAAAGCGGCTTGTTGGAAAGGCCCGATCGGCCCGAAACTGACACACGCGTCTCGTCACGGGCCCCGGGGACGGGTTCTAAAGTTCCGCGTCCCTCGGACCTTTTTTCACGCTAATTGGCCACCAACAGCCCCATGGAACAAGTTGCACGTGGGAAGTCACATAAACAGGGGCCAAAAGGGGTCGAAAGGTCGCAGCGGCCCCAAACTCGACACGGTGGTAGTCCGGGGGCCCCCGGTTCTAGATCCCGGGTCGCAGGGTTCTAGATCGGTTCCGAGTGTGTTTTCAGTTTGACCCTTCGAGAGGGAATGTCAGTCTATGAGCTCACTATGAGTGCAAGATGCTTTTGAGAGAAACTTGAACAAGGGAGGCAAAAAAATGAGCCCTGAGTTCTAGAGACTCGTCCCCCTGATATGTCGTTCGGGGGCCCGAGGGGGCCCGGCACGCAGCGTTTGGGGCCCGTGGGACCTCGGGGGGCCGAACAGGGGCCACTGACACGTGCGACTTATCCCA